TAACGACGAATTAGAAGCTGCTTGTCATTTTCCTTCACTGAATGATGCGGGCGACGTTTGCTCGACGTGCGTGTGATATCCATGCGCATGTGCGGTGTGTGTTTGCGTGCAATCAGTCGTCGCGGCAAGAGTGAAACGTTTGAAAGTGTGGGTTCACGTTACAAAACTAAGTAACACCAGTGTCAGATGCAATATAATATGCAGTAGTGTAATAGTGAACAAAGGAGGCAACACTAGTAATATAATGAAAAATTTACTAAAGTGAAAGTAAACAGTTGAGAGAAAAACAGATACGTGCAGCTCTTAAAGCAGACATATTATGCCCCTTTTTACAATATGTAATATAAGTCTCTGGTGTCCCCAGAATGTGTCGGTGAAGTTTCAGCTCAAAATACTCCACAGATCATTTATAATATAATTTTGAAAATGCCTATTTTGAGTGGAAGCAGAAACACGCTGTTTTTCGGGCCTGTCTCTTTAAATGCAAATGAGCTGCTGCTCCCCGCCCCCTTTTCCAGAATAGAGCTGCGCCATTACAGCTCAGACCTGCTAAAAACATCTGTTTTGGTTCTGATTATCATGTTTATCGTGCTGAAATCATGCGTTTTAAACCATATGAGTTTAAACTTCTGATATACAGTTTTCTGAGCGCACACGTACAGAAAGCGGCTGTCACAGCATGTGAGTACTAATGTGAGTAAAGATGCACCGGGGACCTGATTATAGCACTTAAAACCTGGAAAAGTCAGATTTTAATGCTGTGTCACCTTTAAAGCAGCAGTACTAAACATGCTACCAGTATCGGTATCGATAAAATGTAAACGATACCCCATCCCTAGCCACAAAACACCAAAAAACCTTTGGTCCTGTCTCAATAATGTATCCATATTATATCGGTATAAAGCTACACATCAATTCTAGGACTGCGTAAAATATTATGATTCAATTAATTGCAATCCCTCATTTGAATGATCACCATATTGATTCTTAAATTCCATCTTTTACGCAATGGCAGTGCTGGTTTTTGAATCTAGTCCAACAGCAATTGGACTTTAATTGAATATAAGACAAAAAGTTGTGTGTATAACAAAATACTGCCAAGAACGGTGTCTTTCTCACAGGCTGCATGCAACAACATTGAGCATGAGTAGTGTAGTCTAACTCAAATGCCCCTATGAACTGATTCTTTCTGAAGCATTAGCGAATACAAAACATACGGCTCAACCATTGTAGTCTGATTCACAAACAAATGACTTTTTTTTTTTTGCCTTTATTTGATAGGACCAAAGTTAGACAGGAAGCGAAGTGGGAGAGAGAGAGGAGGGACGGAATCGGGAAAGGTCTGCGAGACGGAACTTGAACACGGGATGCCAGAAGCGCAACGGTGCTACATTTCGACACGCTGCATTTCGATTCTCGTTCACCATTCCTGGCTGGTGGAATGATCTTCCCACCCCTATCCGGAATGCTGAATCCCTGACAATTTTCAAGCGACAGCTGAAAACGCATCTCTTTCAACGATACTTGACTAAATTAAACAAACAAAAAAACTTTGTCTTTCTATTTATTTATTCTTTCCCTTTCTAGCTTGTACTTATTTGAACAATGCCTGAAACTTGGTATTACGAACACTTCCTGTGTCTGTTTGCCTCTTTAAGAAGAATCGCTTTATGTATTCCCCAATTGTAAGTCGCTTTGGATAAAAGCGTCAGCAAAATGACTAAATGTAAATGTAAACGTAATTTTGCTGCCCACGAGGCTATCAGCGCCGACACAAATTACTCTTTTGAGCTGGTCCACTTCATGAATCATAAAAACTCAAACTAAAAATGTATAATTAGGGCACAGTTTAGGCCCTGTTATTAATTCTTAAAATTAGCAGACTCATTTTGAACAAAATGAGATAGAAAAGTGTATATAAAAAAAACACTGCCACAAACTGTGGCAGGCTGCACGCAAAAACATTGAGCATAGGCAGTGTAGTCCAATTGATTCATATGACTCTTATGATATTGTCTTTGTGAAGAGTGAGTGAATCAAAAACATACAGCTCAACCAGTGGAGTCTGATTTTGAGCTGGTCCACTTAATTAATTATTTTAAAAAAACTGAACTCACAAACAAAATGTATTGTTTGGGCCCAGTTTGGGGTCTGTTACTAAATCTTAAAATTAATTTTTTCATAATGTACCAAGTTAGAAGGTTCCCTGTTTAATTTATAATATATGAGACAATTTATTTTGTGCATAAAGAAACTGAACATGTAACTGAAATAAACCCAAATGAAGCAAATTCAGAAACTACTCATATTGAGAGCTTATGAATCAATTATAAATAAAACATAGACTAAAAAAGACTTATAATATTGGCCATTACATTGGTTATTCAAGATCATTTCAAATCACAAATAACTTGAGTGACAGTGCACAAATGCCAATTATTAACTTTCAACAGTCTGCTATTTTGTGAGGTAAAAAATAGAGCTACAAAACGGCCTGAAACAACCTGTACTAATACATTTGCCAAAAAAACAAGCCCTCTTTTGTCAGCGTCTGTGACGAGGCATGCATTACCTTCAATGTCGGCAAAGGGCAGTGCCCTAAAGCAGCTGTGCCGGCCAAACATCGTTCCACACAGCCATTAAGATCCGCTAGGTTCTCAAATCTCCCAGAGTAAGACTGACACTGCTTTTCAATGAGACCTCAGCCAGATATAAAATTGTCACTTCAAATCAAAGAGGAAAAGGTATTTGGGTTGAGTAATGATAAAGATACAGGAAGGATGTTGTACGCATTTTAAGGTCACATAACAAGTGTAAGCAAGCGGAATGAGACGTACTGTTAGTGACCGCTGAGAGCACTCATGTTTTATTCATGCTGGTGCCAAGGTCCAAAGCCTCCCATGATCATGGAAACATTTGATGTGCTCATTAGATTTCAAAAAGGTCACTTCATTTTCCCCCTCGCTCTAACTGCACATGTATAATTTCCCTTCTGAAGGGAGCTGTAACCTTTTTAGAGGCAGCCATCGAGTGCCAGCCCTGCTGTGTGTGCAGTCTGGGGCCATTGTGCTGGGATCGGTTTGCCCTGAAGCCTTAGAGGACATGAGCAACTTAAACTCTGACCAGACTCTATGGACCTATCCAGAAACATTACAGTCGGTCGACGTACATTGAGATGGAGGAGAAATCAGGATCACAAGCTGAAACCAAGAAAGCTACACATTAGAAAGAGAATGAGAAGTGATAAAACTTCAATTCATTTAAGTGAAATCCAGATTAACTACATCCAAAAGATGCACTCATTATAAACCAGTGTTTACGGTTCACGTTTATTGTACTGGCAGCGACAGCAAAACCAAAGAGTCTCACAAAAACAAACAAACAAAAATCTCTGAACTAAAAAAATATATATATTGTATTTTTATTCTCTTTTATTCTCATAATCAAGAAAAAAAAATGGACAGAGACATTATAGGTTCATCAGCAAAATGAATACAGGAATATACTTCTATTTGATCAGTTTCATACCCATTGGACATTGAAAAATAAATAAATAAATAGTCAATTTACTCTAAGTTGTTATTAAGAATAAAAAAAGAACAGCCTCACCATTTAATTTGAAAGAGAGTCTATTCTTATTATCTTTTTCTTTTCTTCATTATCTAATGCACATCAACTAGCCTAGTTGCTGTATCGTGATTTTTTTTTTTAGAGCTGTGAAGTTCAGCATGTACAGGGCTGTAACATCCATCAGCAAATAAAGTTTACAGGCATAAACAAACTGAAATATGCACACAAAAAAACAAACAAAAAGCAGTTTCTTACTAAACCACCAATACTAGACTCAAGCAATGAGTTTAACACTGCCCCAAACAATACCCAAGTATTATAATTCAAAAAGCAGCCACCATATATTGTACTCTCTGTATCGTTACAAAAATAATGGCTGATGCATAATAACATAAAAATACTAATTGTAGAAACAAATATTACAAGTAGTATATTGTGACAGTCACACAACTGTGCAGAAAATCAGTAAATCTTTGGAAAATAATTGGGATGAATTAACTGGAATTGGAATGTATAAACTAGAACAGAATAAAAGAAAAACTAAATTTATGCATGTAATTTTTGGGTATTTAAAAAATATTAGTAAAATTTACATGCATTTTAATTTGAAAAACAATTATATTCTCCCATCAACTGTTTAAAACTCTCTCATTCAAAAAAAAAATTATAAAAATAAATTAATTAAACAACATCTCTTTGAGAGAGATAAAACGGAGTAAGAATGAAAATTTAATTTGTAGACTTTAGACAAAAATCGTTTGGACATTCATACATTAAATTGAGTGAAAAAAGCTCAGCTTAAGGTAATATGAACGTCAAGTTAAGTTAAAGCTGATCTGGCAAAAATATGAATTAAAAAATAAAACATGCTGTGTTGCATGTTTCTCAAAGGGTCACTGCAGGCAAATAGGTTTAATTACAAACAGCTAACGCTTTACACCACTGGGGATCTAAACTACAGTCCACAACTATTACAGGCATTTGTTGATATTCTGCGCATGTGGTATTTCAAGATTTCCTACAAAAAGATCAGTTCTAGAATGAAGATTTTGAAAAAATAAACACAGACCAAGCTGTTTGTCCTTTGCTACATCGCTTTTGACGTGAATTGCCTGTGATTATTTAAGATTCAAGATACACTGTACCATAAGACCACTAGGAGAAGACCCAGCTAGTTAAGATCTTTAAGCTCTCATCGTTTTGTAAAGCAACTGTTTTTACAGTTACAGCTGCAACACAAAACTAATTCAACAAACATCAAAACAACCAATCCAGCAACATGGGTAATGTATCTAAAAATAGCAAGTGTGCTCTATATTTGGAAAGAGCCATCACAAGCGAGCTTTGAACCCACCCCTTGGCTTTGTTTTTTTGCTCACAAACGCTCTAAAAACTGCATATCTCTAGGTTGCCAAAGTTGTGGACAGTGACCATTCTGTGGTATTTACAGGACCAAGGCAGGTGTTATCTTAATATTTACAAGGGAATGTAGATCACATGTCTATTAGACAACTTCATCATCCTCACTGTTGGTAGTTTCTTCTAACGACCAAGAGTTACAATTACATTAAAATCCATTGCAACAACACTTAGCAGCGTATGACTGATCTAAGCAACCCTTCGAGATCTTCAGATGGAGCAGGAGTTGGCTCTCTTTCGTGGCTTTGGCTCTCCAAAGTCCTTGTCATCATGAGTGCAGGAGCTGAAAGAGCAGGAGGAGCAGACCGTCTGTGAGAGTCTACGCATCCCCAGCCGGAATACGCTGTTGGACAGGCTATAAATGACGCAGTTGCAGAAGCTGTTGCTAATTGCTAACCAGGTGGTCACAAAGGAGAGGGCAGGGCTGTCCAGCACATGGGAGCTTTCCAGAAGGAAATAAAAAATGTAGGGGAGCCAAAGCATGTAGAAAACACTGGTGATCCGGAAGAGCACCATGGCGTACCTCCGGTCTGGCCCGTGGCCTGCGTGGTTGCCCCCTTCGGCAGTTTCCATCTCCTGGCTGGGAAAGCGTGCCCGTCGCTCGCTGATATCTCGGTTGTGCTGCTGGCAGATGCGGAAGATGTGGAAGTAGGTGAAACAGACCACCAGGGCTGCAGGGGCGTACAACAGGCACACAACAAAGCCAGTGAAAAGTGCAGAAGTGGGCCAAGAGTGGGCACACCATTCAAAGATATCCCCATGGTACCCCGGCTTACCCCAGCCGAAGAAAGATGGGAGAAACACCACACAAGAGTAGATCCATATGAGAACGATGCAGCAGCGAAGGCGGCAGGGTGTTACCAGCTGGTTGTAGGAGAGGGGCTTGGTAATAGCCAGATAGCGGTCCATGCTAATGCAAGCCAAACAAGCCATCGAAACGCTCTTGAGAACAGAGATGACGTAGCTGAACACCTGACAGGTGAGGGGCTCTTGGACACCAGCTGGGTAATGGAGTAAGGAAAGGGTGGGAACCAGGCAACTTAGCCCCACCAGCAGATCCGCGTAGGCCATAGTCTGGATGAAGTAACTGGTGGTGTAGTGGTGTAACAACGGGGCACAATGAAACACAGAGATCACCGTTAAATTCCCAGCAATGATGAGCACCGTCAGCAACACAATGACCGCAGTCTCTAAGACGCAAGCTTCCACGACCTTGTTCTGCCCCCAGCCTAGGGGGCAGGAGTGGTTTAGGGACACGCCGAAGTGACCGCTAAGGCTGTTGTTTACAGTGGGGACCGGTTCGATCAGCTCCGACCGGTTCATTGTCCCGGACCTTGTCCACTTGGATAAGGTTCCGTTGTCCGAAACGCAGTGCAGATGGCCTGCAACGTGATCCCGTGTCCGTGCTTTCTCGATCTCAATCTTCTGCCTATTCCCCTTTACCTCGGTCTTTCACATGGCTGGAACTCAATGAATTGAGCATTGGCAAAAATCAATACAGTCCGTGTGGAGAAGAAAAAAAGGTGCCTAGCACTCCTCTGAAATCAGTCATGCTTAGGAGCAGTTCAGTAATTGTGAGACAGAGATATTTCCTCGGCAAACAAAACTATGGCTGCTGGAAACAAAAGGCTTGCATATCTGTGCTGAAGGCCAGTTGGCAATATTGTCCACAGCATCCGCAGTGAAGTAGACCAATTCCTTAAGTGTGCTCTTAAGGGTAAAATGTGCAGGATTGTAGAAGGGGTTGTGGGATAAGGAAATGAAGATCAAACAGTTTCCTGTGACCAGATAAGACAATATAAGAAGGATTAAGACAAGAACCAATAAAGGTAACAAAATACCTGGGTCATACCTTCTCCTGAGTCCAAAAAAATTGAATTTCAAGAGTTGCAAAAGTCTCCAAAAAATCTGTTCATATTAGTTTGTCACCAAACAATAACATGAACCATGTTTTGCTTCTGGAATACTGTCCTCTTGGCCACTGTCTCGACCCCCTTTGGGTTTCTATAGTCCGAATCAAAACACAGACACTCTAGACAAACACAGAACAGCATATGACAGTTGCCAGAGCTATCGCTGCGCAGAACACCGCTCATAGCCTGCGGGAGTCTGAGTCAGGCAAAACGGAACTAATCAAAATTTCAAGATCGTGTTCTGGGGGGGCCACAGCGACAGCTTTGGTCTTATTTGCTCCCAATCCATTTACTTTTCATGAACTTCCACTGTGCCTCAGATAAAAGCATGTCACGTAAAAAAGGAGAGACCTGTGTTTTTTCCGAAACGGGTATATAGCTTCTTATGTGAAGGTGTCTCCACAGATCGCATCAGGACAGGTATTAAATCCACATGTTCTTGGTGTCAGTCCACCGTTTGCACATCACATGGCATGCCAACCTCTGCATCTGATTAGCTGTACATGCCCAGCTTCTTTCCTTCTGAGGTAGACCTCGTTCCTTCTTCTCCAACTTCTTTGTGACACATTCTGTAAAGTCTCCTCTAAAATACTCAGTCCGTTCCCAAAATTGGAAGATCTGCGTACCGCTTCTGTCCTTGTCAGCTCTCGGTGACCTGTGAGCCAAAGCAGGTTGACAGCAATTCCCTGGAGCGTGCACAGTGCAAAACGCACTTTGAAATTAAGAATTCAAGTAAAAAGATGAGAACAGAAAGACTTTGAACAGATCTATTCCAAATTGTGTGGCAAATCAGAAACCAGCCGAAGAAAAGAGAACAGCACCTCACTGCTGGTGCTCAGAGATGCTGTGAGTGGCTCACAGTTTCCTCTCCCCCTTCACAGTCTCGCTCTCTCTTCCACTGTGCCTCTCGATCACATTCGCTACCTCCTTCCTTTCCCCTCTCTCTCCCGCTCTCGCTCGCTCTAACTCTCCTCCCTCCCCCTTTTGGCGGCACCTGAGGTCCTCTTTCTCACACAACTCCTCCCAGCACACTGTTCTTTCTCTCTCGCTTTCTTTCCTTCCAATGTTCTCCCTCTTTTGTCATTATCCTCCTCTTCCTGCACACCCTGAAGATGTTTCCCCATTCAAAAATAATCAAAGACTTCCATCTCTCCCGTTGTCTCCTACAGCTCCGTGTTTTATTATCCCTCATTCTCGTTTTCCTTCCTGCTTTAAGTCACTTACACAGACCAGTGCCCAAGCGCAGCAATGCCTGTCCCTTGGTTACAGTTGCCAGGCATTTCAGTTAGCCAGGACCCTCCCTCACAACAGCTGACATGGTGCAACAAACAGGAACAAATTAAGAGACTCCGGGAGGGGGGATTTCATTCCCCTGGAAAGATATCATCGCCTGAGTCTGCTCTAACACAATCACAAATGTAGATCTTCACCAGTTTTACTGACAAGTTTGCTAGACATAATTACAACTAGAGGAGCTCATAAAATACAAAGGGATTATGAGAATGACAGCTAATGTTTCCTGCACAGCTGCACTGCCACTGAATGTTCAAGCCCCGTGGCGAAACAATTTCATATTTTAGCTGAGTGGTGAGCTTGCAGTTCTGAACTGAATGTGATGACAAAAAAGGGTGCTGGAAAAAAAAAAAAAGACAATAAACAGACAACACACTTACGCAACTTTGTCCTTACTGACTGTACTCAAGGAGGTCTATAATTCCCAGAGAAAGCTATCTGTTAGCATCCCTCTGCTGCCACAAGACCATCCTCTATCGAACCCCCAACCTTGCCGTTGCTAGCAGGGATGCCAAAAAAAGGAGGGGGGGGGCAACTGTACTTTTTGTCCTAGGCCCATGCTTGGGGGTGGTGGGAGTGTCTGGACTGAATAATGGAAGGGGGTCTGATGGAATGATGACGACTATAAAATCCAGAATGCCAAAACAAAACACAATCTCAATGTGATATCCTATCTGGGCTACAGGAACATAACATTACTATGGCTATGTCAAAATCTACTAATTTAAACACAGGGATAATACATTTTACTATTAATATTTTTATCGGCAATGTTAAAAATTTAAATACATTTAAAGGGATAGTTCACCCAAAAATGAAAATTCTGTCATTAATTACTCACCGTCATGTCGTTCCAAACCCGTAAGACCTTCGTTCATCTTCAGAACACAAATTAAGAAATTTTTGATCAAATCCGAGGCCCTGCATCCAAGATCTTTTTGACCCTGCCTAGACAGCAACTCAACTGAAACAATCAAAGCCCAAAAAGGTAGTAAGGACATCGTTAAAATATTTCATGAGACAGCAGTGGTTCAACCGTAATTTTATGAAGTTACAAGAACAGTTTTTGTGCGCAAAGAAAACAAACATAACGACTTTATTCAACAATGCATTGTGGTACTCTCGTGAATGTGCATCAAAGACTGACAGGGAAGCGAAGAAATTGTTAAATTAAGTTGTTAGTTTTGTTTTCTTTGCGCACAAAACGTATTACTCGTAGCTCCATAACATTACGGTTGAACCACTGATGTCACATGGACTATTTTAACGATGTCCTTACTACCTTTCTGGGCCTTGAACGTGTCAGTTGCATAGCTGTCTATGGAGGGTCAGAAAGCTCTCGGATTTCATCAAAAATATCTTAATTTGTCTTCTGAAGATGAATGAAGGTCTTACGGGTTTGGAACGACATGACGGTGAGTAATTAATGACCGAGTTTTCATTTTTGGGTGAACTAACCCTTTAAGGTTCAAAGTCACACTGCGAAATATCAAGTCATAATGAGCTTTTACTCTTTTATTTCTTGTCTTTTCAACTCTGAAGCAGAAAAGAACTTACATATTCACAAGACCTAAGACTGGTTGCCTATAATTGACAATGTCATTATGACATTAAACAAAGAAAACCATATAAAATTGGTCCAAAAAAGTACTGGTTATTATAATATATCATGATGTTTGGCAAAATTAAAAAACAGAATTCTGCTGTAAAAACAGTGGCACATGTTGGTGAAATGTTTAAAAAACTTTGATCCATAACTTGTGGAACAAGATACTACTGAACAACAGTGTCAGCCAGAGGCCCGTATAAATGATTCATCACAAAGGAAGAGAAAAGGCTGGAGAAAACAATGACCATAATCCTCTTCATCTGTCGGTGCCTGAGCTTTTGATCCAAGTGACTCTGTACAGGGACAGGCAGGGCAACTCTGGCTCTCATCACCGCATTGGCAGTACAAGTACAGGTCAGGATGACAGCTGGACTTGATTTGGCATTATTTACGGCAACAGTCAGGGCTTTGCTAAATCCACTGCTTTCAAAGACAACATGAAATCAAATTGGACCCTATTTACGTCATAACTTAATTTTAATAAATGCCCTGGTCTTACGGTGCACAGTTAATAAGTGAATGTCTAAGTGAATCTGTAAACTGTGGAAAAGGAAATAAACGTACATATAAATAAAAAATACATAAGATCACAGTACACATTTAAATGCATTGAAATGTCCAAATCTAAACTACTGTATTATTCCTAAAAAAAAAGAGCTTTAAAGGGATAGTTCACCCAAAAATGAAAATTCTGTCATTAATTACTCACCCTCATGTCGTTTCAAACCCGTAAGACCTTCGTTCATCTTCGGAACAAAAATTAAGATATTTTTGATAAAATCTGACAGCTCTCTGACCCTCCATAGACAGCAAAGATTTTACCATGACCAACGCACAGAAACGTAGCAAGGACATAGTTAAAATAATCCACGTGACATCAGGGGTTCAACCGTAATTTTACGAAGCTACGAGAAAACTTTTTGTGTGCAAAGAAAATAATAATAATTTATTCAACAATTCAGCGTTGTTTACATTCAGCATGAGCACGCTGTCTACTTAATGTAAACAACACATTACATTGATTACGTTCTGGGGTACTCTCCAAAATGGTGGAAGATGGTGGAAATGGGGAGAAGAATAGAAGCTGTTCTCGTAGCTTCGTAAAATAGGTTGAACCCCTGATGTCACATGGACTATTTTACTTTGCTACGTTTCTGTGCATTGATCATGGTAAAATCTTTGCTGTCTATGGAGGGTCAGAGAGCTCTCAGATTTAATCAAAAATATCTTAATTTGCATTCCGAAGATGAACAAAGGTCTTACGGGTTTGGAACGACATGAGGGTGAGTAATTAATGACAGAATTTTCATTTTTGGGTGAACTAATCCTTCAAGAAAAATACCATCATTAAACCGAGACTAAAAGTTCGCTTATGCTTTATAACCACATTATAGTAACATTCATAGCAAGTTTTCATGTTTTAAATTTTGCACTTGCAGGCAGTCTCGAGGCACGCATGTAGCCGTGATTCAAACCTCTGCACACATGACCAGAGGATATGACTGCATGAAGTGTGTCTCTCGGTAATACAAACTGTCATTTCTGTGTCAGCAGTGAGCTGACCCCGGCGACACAGTCTGATAGCACACACTATGCGGGGGCCGACTCTATCTACTCGACGGTGCAGATGGGGGCCAAAATCCATTACAACATTACAACACCATAAAATGAGGCATGTGTATAAACGAATCCAAAAGGCTCTCTCGTTGGTGAGTGGCGTGTCGTTGCGAGAACGAAATCACGTTGTTTGCGGGTTATTGATTCTCAGGGAGGCGGAACGGGCGAATGATGAGGCCGCTAATAGAAGCGCTATAGTTCAGAGTGAATGGCAGCTCAGTCGCTAGATGTCGACTGCATTAAGATACATGTCGGGCTGTGCTGGGAACAGGGGGCTATTGTGAAGGAGGGGCAGCTGGTCGGAGGAAACTGGGATGGCTTTGTGGACAAGTCTCAAACATCTCATACGCTGGGATAATGGCAGCTCACCAGCACACACTTTGTGGATAGAATCACAGAATCCTGTTCTAAAAATGAAATTTGCAGTATAACGCGTAACGTCATGGAGGGCTGTAAAGTAAAGCGAATTGCAATATGGATTTGTGTCTGTGTGAATGAGTGGTTTGTCTACAACACACACACACATGTGACACATAACACAGAGTTTATGAAAAAACTATTAATTTCATAGGGTTATATTATTGTAAAATATGTAATTTAATTAAATTGATATTATTAAATGAAATTTAAATAAAATCTATGAATTTAACTGAATAGACATGATTATTACAATTTAATTAAATCACTCAAATGGAATCCAGAAAAATTTAAACAGAAAACACTTTAGGAAGAACAAAACAGAATTTGGAAGAAAAAAATAGGATTTTTTTTTGTGCCCTAAAAATGTAATTTCTGTAACTCTTTTTATAAATTGTGTTTAAACTGTATAAGTTTCATGAATCCAATTAATTAGACAGGCTTTTTGATTATTAAAATTTAATTAAACCCCTAAAAAGGAATACAGAAAAATTAAAATAGAAAACACTAATTTTGGGTAGAATAAAACAGAATTAGGAAAAAATAAATCAGATTTCATAGGGTCATAAAAATACAATTTCTGTTAATCTTTTATTAAACTGTTGTTAATTGTATACTGTATGTTTCATGATTTCAATTAATTATACAAGCTTTTTGATTATTAAAACTGAATAAAATCAATAAAACCAGAAAAATCCAGAAACAATTAAATGGAAAAGAGTGAATTTGGGGGGGGAATGAGAATGATTTCATAGACCCCTCGAAAATGTAATTTTTGTTAAACTTTTAATAAAAAGTTTTGTTTTTCAATTACTAAAATATAATTTAGTGGGAAAAAAGCTGATTTTACAGGGCCCTATTTACTGGTCCAAATAAGAAATTGTCTAACTACATTTGTAGTCTCTCCGAGGGCCTTCTTTCAATGCAAATCAATTTTTTCCCCCAATTTGTTTCACCTCTGATCACTTAAAACCAGACAATACTGTACAAAACTACCCACACTCAGAAAAAGCAGAACTATTCTTACAAATCCAGAATATGCACAAAACATTGTATTGAAACGATCTGCTATCAAAGACTTCATTACATGCTCCATAAAGACTATAATCTACTTAAGCAGGTTTGTGAAGACTATATAATCAATCCCACAAGCCGTTTGAAATAGAAGGTAGAAAAAATTATATTAATACGAAATCCTGGACGCAGCCCAGTGATCATCTAAATGGCTGAAAGGAGGCTTCTTGGCATGAGACATTCAGGATATTTCATGCTCGGTTACAATCTTGTAATCAAACAATTTACTTCAGCCTAAGGGTCCACGTGCCTCAGCTGATAGTACAATGACTTAACATTGTGCTTTCACATGCCTTTTTAATGTGTAAGTAATT